TTATGTACCTTTTTAGGTCAATCTTAAACTCAAATTTTATCTTTTTTTAAACAGAACAGTTTTGGAATATGAATTATTAAAATAATTATATAATGAATTAATTATTATTAATTTTTAATTTATAGTACCATCAAAATAAACATTAAATCTTTAATATTAAAATTATGAGGTAAAACTTTATTATTACTGAGGATTACTGAAAATCATTATAAGTTATGTGTGATTATTACTGAAATCATAATTTTCAAGTTGGCATCTCTGGCAGTCCGCATGTGCGTCTACTGAGTTGGATTCGGTGAGATAATTGCACTCTGCTGCATTTTACAAGATATTTTCAATTTCAGGCTTCATTTTCCACCCTCTGATATCGAACAGAAAAATAATCTCTTGATCATTTTATAATGGCTGATATAATAAAGAAAAGAGTTCTTTGTTAGAAACTAGTTATTTTATCATGATCATGTAAAGTCTTTGAAAATTACTTTGCATTTTGTCGATGTATATAGTACTTAAAAATATTTTTGAGTGCTTAAAAGGTACTTATTTACTGTTGAAAGATTTGGCTGTGCACCCTGATGAACTTAATTTTCTCTCTCTTTGTGTTCTATGTCCTTTCTTCTGTGTGAATGTAACCCGCCCTCTAAATGTGTTTGTGGTTGTATGACGTGGGCAGCGCTACTCCACCACCGTGGATTAGCCACAGGTGCCCACTGGGTAACAATAAGAGAGTAGCAATTCTGTCATTTCTGAGCTCAATGGGAAATAGATCCAAGTGCCTCCCATTAAAAAAAATCTTTTCTATATATTGAATAGGCTGGGTCAAAAAATAACATTTGTATTTTAAAATGCTGTAGAGTGAAAAAAATATGCCTCTCTCGAAAAAGTGGATTAAAAATTTTTTGATATCTTCTGGACACATTCAAAATTCATAAAAATTTAGAAAATAGATAATTTTTCTTACATTTTTTAATCCGACTTAAAATAGTTAAATAGAGCTGCTGCAGCTAAATTTTCTTATTTCGTGTTTTTAAAAAGTGAAATAAGTCATATCTTTTTTATTTCAATGGCATGATGAGGATGGCTCCTTGTTTTTATCATTTGTGGCTTGTTTTTATCATTGTGAAATGGCACAAAAGAAATTAAAGAATATAATTATTAAGCAGACTTTGGCACTCAACTGAGCCCTGACAGAATTTTCTACAGAGAGCAATCTATTGAAAACATATATCTTTTTTATCAATGCTGTTTTTGAAAGAAATTTAGATTGTATATTGAAACAAATACCAAATTCACGCATTTTTTCCCAAGAAACTGGAACAGTAGGGAAAAAAAAATTTAAATGCTTATCCAAAAAAGAATCTATCCCTGTAGTGTCTAATACTGTTTTTTTTCTTCAATGTTGCAGCAATGTTTTCAATGTTGTATTGTATTTTGTTAACAGGTTTTTTTTTCAATTTCTCAGAATAATTGAACTAAATTTATGCATAGTTTAATAATTTTATTAGCTGCAGTTAGCCACCTACAATATGAATGTGACAAGAATTGTTTTGTTACATGTGCAGTTGTATGAAAATGCATGCACATTTTATTATTTATTTTTGCAAATATATGTGATGGCACATTTACAAGCAGCAACAAAATTTAAACATCTTCTGTTTAAATAAATATGTGTTTATCGCAATTTTATGAATTTTTCATGTTATAGAATTGGATATTTGATAAATAAATTTCCAGTTGTTCTCGGTTGGGCCACAAAAAAAATTATTAATCGAAAAAATTTTTTTGACTCAACCCAGACTGGAAAATCTAAGTTTTTATTTAAGTCTTGTGGCTAAACATAGGAGGGATTTCTACAAAACCCCAAATATATAAATGTTTATTAAGGGGAAAATATTAAAATCACATTTAAAACTCCCCTGAAATTACTTTTAAACTTGAAAGTAAAATGAATAGCCCTTAACCGCTGTATTCATTATCATAATCAGCATTGGCACGACAGTCCTTTGTGAGCCTGGGCCTTCCTCAGAAACTTTTCCCATTTTGCCCCTCCCAGCAATTGATTTCCAGTTCTTTACTTTTAGGATGGCCATCTCTTTTTGGGCCTTCCTCTTGGCCTTTTATTGGAGGGGTTTGCATTAAAGACCCTTAATGCTGTTCTTCCTGGACTCATTCTCACTACATGCCCGGCTACTTAGTTTAATAGATTTAATGATATCATGACTATTAGAGATCTTATATATTTCAAAATTATATCTTTTTATCCAGTTGTTGTTATCAAGGATAGCGCCAAAGATGGTTCGTAGGACCTTCCTTTCGAAGGTTGCTGATAACTTCGCTTCCCTTTTTGTTAAAGTCCATGTCTCTGAAGCATAAGTCAAAACTGACTTGATTAATTAATCCTTATAAAGTAAAATCTTCGTCTTTCTTTTTCTTAAGTGAGATTTCAATAATGATCTTAAACCATAGAAGCAGCGATTGGCTGTGATTATTCTTTTTCTGATTTCATAATTAAATGTCATTTTGATAGTTTATTTCTAATCCTAGATAAGTAAAAAATTTTACAGATTCAAATTTAAAAGAGTCTCTTTCAAACATTTTAGGGATGGTTTCCATTGTACCACAATACATATATTTTGTTTTCTCCACATTCACTCTTAAGTTCATTTTTCTAGCTGATTTTTCCTGTGCCAAAAATTTTTCACTCAGTGCAGTCCTAGATCTTGCGATGATGTCTATCCGCACTGATTTATTAAATATAAACCTATAGTATTTATGCCAGCATCTCTAATAACTTTTTCTAAGGCTATGTTAAATGGAAAACATGCTAATGCATCTCCCTGTCTAACTCCATTATAAATTTCAAAAGAGGTTTTAAGTTCCCCCTGAATTCGTACCGTTGAAATGGTTTCAGTGAGTGTGAGCATTACAAGTCTGAATAATTTTGATGGAATATTAAAATCAGATAGGGTCTTAAATAGCTCAGTCCTATTAATACTGTCATCTGCGCCTAAAAATCCTCAAATAAATGATGGGTCTCTATTCCAAATTCTCTACATTTCTCCAAAGTTTGTCGTAGGAGGAAGATTTGGTCAACTGTGGACCTTCCTTTGCGGAAGCCACACTGATAATCACCAATGACGCTGTCTACAATGGGAGACAGGCGTTCAAATAGGATATTTGAGAAGACCTTACAGGCAAGGCATAACGGACTTATTCCTCTATAATTGTGACTGTCCAATGCATCCCCTTTTTTATGTATTGGACATAGAATACTCCAATTATGTGTAACTGTAACTTCCATTCAGTAGGCAATATCTCTCTCTCCCAACTACATAGAATAATTTTCTAGATGTTGTTTACATGTATTCATTATTGTATCTCTCAATATTTACTTCTTTTTTTTGATCAATTTTCTTCTTTGAGCATAAGGTTATTTTTTCTGCACTTTAAAAAAAAAAATTTTTTTTTTGGCCCAACCCAGAACAACTGGAAAGTTTTTATTTAAGTCTTGTGGCTAACCATAATAGGGATTTCTACAAAACCTCAAAGATATAAACTTTACAGGAAGTCGAAATTCCAACTATTATCTTAAACATTATTCTAATTTTATTCTAACAAACTTTTATTTTTTTCTCTGTGAAGCTTTTTTTCGTATGACCCAGTAGAAAATGTTCTCATAATGAAAATAGCTTTTCGTGCTAGTACTGTTAAATGCATGTTTTTATTAATTTCAAACTGAAATTTAATTATAGACAATGATTTTTATGGATTATGAATTTGGATAAAATTTTAAGCCGAAAATTTTATAATAGCAAAATTGTTTTTGAATATAGGGGGGAAAATATATCGAAAATTAACCAGTCATAAATGATTTTTATCTGTAGTGACAATTTTTGAAAATATTTTCTTACTTTACCATATTTTTCTGTTGATTTTTTAATATAATTTTAAATTTTCTCAATTTATAGACTAAATTTTCACAAAATAGGTACCTCTTAAAAAAACCTAGGCAGATCTCTGCCAATGTGTCTTTATTGTGCCTGTTACATCATTGTTGTTTCTCATGCTATGTTTCAAAATGGTATCTTCAAACAAAACATTATTTCTTAACCATGACAAGTTTTTTTTTTATGCCTTATTTCAAGTAAAAAATATTAGTTTGTATTTTACTTGAATTTAAGCTGAAAATACACAGAAAAATATATGTCCATTTTAATAGAATATTGTAAAAAGTCTGTTTTAACGATGAAAATTTTTGTGACAAGTCCATTAATTCTCCTAATAGGATCCAATGTATTTTTCAGGTAGCACTTCGACTGCTGGACAAAGAAGTATTGAGCAGAGATGACATGATTGAACTTTTGGGACCAAGACCTTTCAAAGAAAAATCCACTTACGAAGAATTTGTGGAAGGAACTGGTTCTTTTGAAGAAGATACTACCTTACCCAAAGGATTACATGACTGGAATAAAGATGCCCCACCCCCTAAAGACACAGCGCCATCTAGTACTTAGGATTTATAAATTGTTGTGATATGGATGTACATATTTTCAAAAGAGTTTTCTTCAGAACTGTAATATTTATTCAATTCCATCGTTCTTACAGGGTGGCCCGTAATAAAACTTAGTGAGGTTTTTATAAAAATTTGTTAATTTTTAATTCCAACATAATTAAGCTAAAGTTAAGAAGTTTTCTTTTTACCTTATGTAACCAGCAGGCCACACAACATTTATGTTTTTCGATTCTTATTACCTCAGACAGGCCATATACGTTGATACTTTTGCTTAATTAATGCGTTTATGCTCTTAGGATTTTATTTTCTTTGTTACTTACTTTTGGTTTCGTAACTTTTATGACATTAAAATGTTGATTTATAAAGTAATTCGTGTAATCGACATTATTTTGATAAACGTTACCAAACTAAAACTAAGTTTACATTTGACAAGAAAAAAGAATGCAAAGTACAACATATTTTCAAAATCAATACAAATTCTGTCCTATAAGGATAATATTGACATCATTTTAAAAACTGTTTGCACATTAAAAAGGTTTTCCTTTCTTTAAAGTGAGCTGCCAATAGTATAGGTTTAATCATAAACAGAAAAATACCAAATATATGTCTGCACTAAGTAATGAAATCTGCCGTGAATCCTATTTGGAAATTGGTTCTCGCAAATTTCAGGTTGTTTTTAGTTTTTTTAGTTCTGTAGTTACAGCTTACATTAGCATAGTCAAAGAGAATCAAAGTCGTTCAATCTATGCAAATAAAGCTTTTTATGGGCTTAAACAATTTTTTAAATCTTCACTACTATGAAAAAATACTAAATTGTTTAGTATATAAAGCATTCATTCAACCAATGTTTATTTATGTATCTAGAACCTGACCAAATTTGGATCGAAAAAAAGAAAAACAGCCATTATTGAGAGTAAAGTTTTTTTCAGCTATTTATGGTGAAATAGAAATCAATAATGTTTAGAGAAGAAGACATAACTTTGAGCTTTATGAAAATCTATAGAGAGCTAGTTGTTGTTAAGTTCATAAAAATAAAACCTGGGCAGTTCATATATTTAGAATGGATGATGATTCCAAATGAAAAATAATTATTTTTCCTTAACTACTAATTAAGTAGAAAACGGGGTAGACCAAGATTGAGAGAGGTGGAGTTTGTGGAAAATGATTTCCTCGCTATCCAGGAAGGAAACTGACGCACAAGTGTCAAAACGAGTAGAATGAGGAATGAGCAGAATGTTGATGCAGTGGTGCAGAGTTCAGATGAAGGCACTGGCTCACTCTGAGCTGTCTAGGCAAATGTGATGTTGTCGAATTATGATGAATGTTGAATTATAAAAATTGCAAAATTATTCATACAATTAAGTTCTCACAGAAAAATGATTCATAACTTAGGAATAAAGAGAAAAGATTGCTTCTTAGGTTTTCAATCGTTAAAACCAAGTAAATATTTAAATACTTAGATTATAGGCAATACTTGGAATTGCGAGGTTATAGTTCATGAAGTTCTTGCCGTTACAGTCTATAATACAATTAAAGTGTGTGATGGAATTTTCAAAATTTTATTATGTTCGGTCAAGTAAAGTACTGCTAATTTGTTATTTCTATTATTTATTTGAGGTTAGTATGTTTATTTAGTAATTAGTGTTTGAATGAATTAATTTTTAATCACCTTTTGAAAAATCAGTTGCAAATAATTTGTTGTTACTAAATTAACCCTCATCGGAGCTTATTGGTTACCCTGTAAACGATTGACAGTGTAATTAGATTTTTGATTATGTGTAGTCAAACATCAGAATCATAAAGTCATTAAGTTTAGTTACTGTAAATTATTTCAATTTTGTTTTCTTTTTAAAGAAAATAAAAATTTGACAAAACATTACAAATTACGTTAATTAGTTTTTATCTTCGTGTTAAGGTTTTAAAATTTTTCTCATATTGCGTCATAATGTGTTACTTTGTGATGTAATATATTTCTTTAACATTAATTTTGACAATCACAAATCAAGTTGAGACAAGAACAGCTACAATGGATGCACATAGCTGTTACCCTGACTGATTTCAGAATCGCCAAAATTCAGATAGATTAAATAAATTATAATAAGGAAAACAGGGTTCCTTAAAAACTGCTTAATCTTTATTTTGGAAAATAAGGGCCCTTAAAAGTACTTAATTTTGGTACAAGGTTTTTATAAAGTTCTTAATTTTTTACCGTCACTATAGTTGATAGGAAACAATTTTTCAGTTCAATTTTTTAAAACAAAATGTCGCTCTTTTGTCACTTAGAATTGGACCATGCATCAAGGGTAAAAGCATTTTAGAGAGACAAAAATTAATGGGGGGAAGACTACAGGCAAGGGGAAGAAAGCACATCATTTCATTAATATATTCTGCTTTTGCCTAGAATGATACTCTATGAGGAGAGTGAACATTCTAAAAGACGAAAATAGTGTGGGCAAAGGGGATACTGCACATGGAAGAGATAGTGGTTTTTTTTTTGGGGGGGGGGCAGTTTTAGAGTACCTAAATAGAAAACCCACACTAACCTTCAAAATTTACAGAATTCAGGAAATTCAGTTCTACTGGTAACACGTCTGCTTAAAGAAATGAAGTAAAACGCTAAGAAAGGAAGTATCAGAAAAATTTTTTGAACTAGAATCTATAACGAAAATTTCCTGAAATCTTGAAGAAATCAATAAATTTGCATAATATTTCAATGTGTTTTGGTATCTATTTATAATTTGTTTTGTTGCATTGTAAAAGAATTTTAAAGTTTTTGATTGCTATACTTTTATTTTTTAAGGATAAGCAGATGGTTACATAAAAATTTAAGTCTACTCAACTAAAAGGTTGTTAGATTTTAATAATCATTTTATTCAGTTAAAATTGTTACTTAATATATTGCTTTTAATTTTTGTTCAATTTTTGGTTGCTTTAAAATTAGTTCATGTGTTTCGACAGAATGTTTAGTAACATTATGTAAAGTTAATTCCTAATAACTGGTTTAGCTGGAAATAATTTTGTTAAAGTTCATCATAAAAGCAAAACAAATTTGCTGGTCTAGTAGCAAAATATAAAAACTTTTTGTAATATTTTTTTCAATGTTTTTGCCAAATTTCTTTTTACTCTTTTTTTTTTTTTTTTAAAATATACATGAAAAAAATTGCAAATCTTAATTTCTGCACTTAATTTTACTATTCAATTTCTATGAAATCATTAAAAATGAAATACAGATTAGTTTCATACGTTAATTTTTATTATTTGAGATACGTTAACTTTTGACAATCTGAAAACGTTTTTTAAAAAACCTGACCCTGATTTGCAAAAATTGCCTGTTCTTTCTTTGGCAGCCCCTGTTAATTAATACAATCATATCAGTGCTTATATTCTAATTAAATTGTTTTCATTATTTCTTCTTTTTATTGATATTTTTTTTAGAAAGTTCCTTAATTTTTTCCAAAAAAAGTCCTTAAAAGTGCTTAATTTTTGCTTTGTTAAAAGAGTGAGAACCCTGAAAAAAAGAGGATATATATATATATATAAATAATTTTTTAACCGTCCTTGAATAGGGGACCCAATTTTGGGTTTACGGCTACTAATGTTCAACTCCCTATCCTTGTAATTTTGAACCAATCCAGAAGACAAAGAAACTCCTGGATCAGTATCCCCAGAGGTATGATTTGTTACGGGAACATGGCAGACTTTGTGACTCGACAGATTTAACGTGCATCAGTCACCATTTACTACACGAGGAGTCTTCGGCCAACGGGGATCGAACTGGCGCCCTCTTGGACATGGACACAGTACCCTACCAACCAGGCCAATGAATAAAGTATTGGGAGAAATATGCCTTCATGGAGTACTTTTTGAGGGAACTAACCCGCATTGGCGTTACATGGGGAGGAAAACAGCAAAAACCTCCCACGGTTAGCCAGACGGCAAGGTTAGTCTAACCCATGATCCATATGCCACTGAGAATATCGAGCGAGTTGGGTGCGGAGTTCGTTCGTATCGACCAGCCATCGCTGGAATTAAAGCCCTGGTTCACCTCATTGGAAGGCGAACGCTCTGTCTCCTGAGCCACCACGTCTCTATATAAATCATTAGAAGTACAGTACACTCTCGATTATCCGTGCTCATTCCAGAGTCACACGAAAAATACAAAGAGAAACATTTTAAAGATTAAAAAAATTTTTATTCATGAAGTTATAACACTACCACATTTTTGGAAGCAATATTCGTTAGTGGATTGAAGTATATCGAATATCAGCAGCATGGTCAAAGGTAAAATCGTCTACTTTATCACGATGTTGGAGAAAGATAATATCGCTTGATGAGCAATCTTTTTCAGATGTTCAAGAAAAATATGATAACAATATTCTAGAATAAACAAAAGAAATCTGAGGTTTCGAAATTCTTGACGAAGAAGATTGGTTTCAAAGTGATGCATGTGAGCCTGTCTTCCAGTATTTGACAGATGAAGACATCGTTATGTAGTTAAATCAAATAGTGATGATAGTAACTGATGCAGAAGATGTAGTAAATGAGGGAAATACAATTTCTATTTCTGCTGCTCCGTGGAAATTTTATTAGATTATATGGGAGGATTTGATTACGGTGACATTGATGCGGTTCGTAAAACATGTGTATCAATATATGACGAAGACGCATTACACAATTTTTTAGAAGAAAAATTCCTAGTTTGATGTTATGCAGCATGCAAATATCAGTAATTTTTATATTTTTTGTACTGATATTGATTTTTTTCTCTAATTAAAAGAGTTTTCGGATTATCCGTGTTTTTCGATTCTCCGTGCTCCCTGTCCCGGTGATTAACCCGGATAATCGGGAGTGCACTGTATTAATAAAATCAATCGCCAGAAACGGGTAATTATAAATAAAGGATAATTATTAATCTAAACTGAGAGAGAAAGGATACGCTCAATGTGAGGGAAGAAGATAATCATTTAAAGCAGACAATGATAACTAAAAAAGTTCTTTCACGCTTCAGAAAGGATAAGCACAAAGAGTAGTATGACACTGAATGCTTTGAAGATGATATCAATTTAGCCTCATTATGAAAGAATATTTATAAATTTATACGCATAGTTACAAATTCGTAACAATATGAAACATTGGCGAAAAATATCAGCATAGTTAGGACAATCGAACAACTTCTAGCTTTTCTAAGAATATTGTGTAAAATGTTTTTATTTATTTCATTTTAATTTTTATATTGATTTTATTCGTATACTTCTTAGAAAGTGGAAAATCAGCGCTGAAAGGGAGAGAAAATTTTTAAAATAATTTCTTCAGAGTTTTTGAATGGCACGAGTAAAATTTTATTAAACAGACCATTGAACCCCTTTTATGTTTTCTTGCTTTTCACTTTCATTTTATCAGACCATGCAAATAAATTTCTAGAGATAGCAAAAATATAATGCAAGATATCAGCAATGGCTGAACATTTAAATACCCGCCGTTTTTTATGTTTTACGAATGGTTGACTGAATGTAAGCAGTAACAAGCTTCCTAAAACCGCAAGAAATTTAGAAAACTTCCTGTGTATCCCTCCGCTTTTGTTATGCTTATGAGGAGGTGTGTGAACAGGCTTAATATTCCAGGAAGTTTTATTAATGTGATTTGTGTTGAAATTTACGCATAATTTTACCATTCATAAGAGTTTCTTGTAAGTTACAAATTCTAACTGTTATAGTGAAAATTAATATCACACCTTAAATTAAATATAAGGTTTGCCGTCTTTGGAGTGGTTGGTGCACAATGCTGGTCTTATTATCATCATGTAGTCCAGGGGTGGCGAACCTTTATACACCAACGTGCCCTTTTTTCTAAAACATTGTTTGATGAGGTCATAGACGTGCCGTCAAATAGTTTTGACTTCGTGATTATTGGGAAAATAATAATACTAAATACTATCAACTCAAAACTCTTTATTTACATTGAGAAAAAAAAAACATTTTGCAATGTCTCAGTTATAAGCGTAATTCAACTTAAAGTAACATCAGTGTGACTTCTGTTGTTGTTGTAAGATGTTAGTTTAAGCAGGACTGTTAGTTTTTTTGCTAGTTATTTATAGTTAGCTTGTTTTTTATGGTTATTAATTGTTTTTTTAGCATTAATTGTTAATTTTTTATTTATAATTGTTTATTATTTTGTGTGTTTTTTGTGAATTTTAATTTAATTGTTACATATGCTTCATAGTGTAATAATACCATTTGAGTAATAACAAATGTGATCGGTGGCGTGCCCGAAATATTGCTTCGGGTGCCATAAATGGCACGCGTGCCATTGGTTCGCCATCCCTGATGTAGTCGGTCTCAAAATCATGGAACCTCAATTTCCATGACCCCCTTCGCTCAAAATGGCCCACAGGGGCACACTCTTTTGCGACGGGTATGTCGCACCTGGGGCCCTATGCTGGACCTGAGCATTCTTCTATTTCTCTCTTGAGACGGTCCTATTTTGAGTTTCCGAATTTCCATCAAATATTTACACTGACCATGTGAGACTCTGATTATTATTTACATATCGCACCCCGGCAAGAAAAGTGACACAAGTTAAAAAAACATCAATTTTAAGGTTATGTCAGCAGAAAATATGTGTGAAGAGCCCTATCAAGTTTAAAAAGTGTCACACCTTATCCAGTTGAGGTCAGTTTCGTGGCTAATTTCAGAATCGGTGTTATCGTATTCTTTAAGTTGATTTTTCTGAAATACTGCATTTTAGAGTTATTGCACTTTCCTTGTCGGGGTGAGATATAATGGATTTTCAGACTTTGGTTACGCTTGGATATATTTCAAAAGCAATAATGCACCTTACAGTTAATTAAATACAGTACCATATCACACATCAAATTCATTGAAATATAATTCTTTCGCTTTTACTTAACTTATATTCGTTTATCTATTTTATTGTAGCCGTGATATATATATATATATATATTTGCGTACCTGGCAACTTCGATGCATAATTAGTCTGTTTATGTTCTACATGTCTTCATGCCCGTTTTTGTGTTTAGTATGAAATTTATAGTGAAAGAATTGAAATCTTTGTAAAAGAATGTATAATGTATCATTTGAGAGAATTGATGCTTGCGGGCTTGGCTTACTCGAAATAGAATAGAAAGAACAGTTGCTAACTTGAACAAATGCCTTGTTTCATCAGCAAATCAGGATAGAGGTATCCACACTACAACACTTGCAGGTATCCCATTGAAAATAATTTAAATTTTTCAAATTGCGTTTTGCGTAATACATAGCACAGCTAATCTAATACAGTAGAGCGCCGATTATCCGAACTGCTCGGGACCGAACATGGTTCGGATAATGAAAAGTTCGGATAATTGGAAAGTTGTTTAAAATCTAGTGTAAATGATTATTATTTATGCACTAACTTCCCTTCGCACCTTTTGTAGGCTTAGGACTGGCAGTACTATCTAAAGTAGCTCTGGCGTGTTTAAAAAAATTTTTTTTCTTCCATTTTTAAATATTTAAAATTAATTTTTTTTAAATTTTTTTTTTTCATTTTGAATTATTTTTATCATACATATTTCAGTTTTTTATATTTTTTTTGTCAATTACTGATTTTATCACATTTTTTATTATTTTCCATTGTGAAAGAAATTCAGCAAAGATTTCGTTTCGAAGAAGATGCGTTTTTTTTTTTTTAGCAGTCATATATCCCTTATTCTTTTTAAATAAATCAACTGAACTGGATCAACATCAATTTTGACGTTCTAGCCAATTCATTGCAATATCTAATGAATTGCGTGCAGTTCCGATTTTCATTCAAAATTTCAGCAACAATTTCATCATTTTCATCCAAAAGATCTACTGGTTCAGAAACTTCAGTGTCGTTTGTTTTTCTGTTAAGAATTTTATTCCAAGATTTAGGATTCCAAGCACTGTAAACACTAATAATTAACCATGAGTGACAACTACCCATTCCCCAATTATAGAACTTCAGCGCTTATCTATTCATAAACTCCTTCTGCATTCCAACCATTGTAGACTATCAAAATGAAGCTCGCATTCTTGGAAGATAATTTTCAGTTGTAAAGGGTTATGTAGGTTTAACTGTATCACAATACATGTATGTACGGCTACTACGAGAAAACTGCTAAAAAGGTTGTAAATTAAATATAGTCTTCAGATGTAGGGGATATTACTTATTCTTCTTAATTTAGAAAAATTGTCGATAGGTTAAAAAGTATTCTAAACTTTAAAAAAAAAATGAATTCAGACATAGTTCGGATAATAAGGGTTCGGATAATCGGCGCTCTACTGTATACAGTTTCGAAACTACTTTTGATTAAAAATTAAACATTTTCATGCTGTTCCAGGATTTTTTCCCTCCGTTACCGTCCGCAGAGAAGTTTATTGTTAAGACACGGTTCCCAGCAGGATCACCGAAGTCAAGCATCACAGGCTGCTGTCAGTGTGCGGGTGGGTGATCACTTGGATCAGTCTGCATAGGGACCTCGTTAAGCTGTGTCTACCGTAAAGTGCTCGACTTCGCGTGCAGGTCGTCGGGCTACCGAAGCGGGACCCTCTGCAGAGGATCAAAATTGTGATGGCATGTCATCGGATCATCCTCAAGGATGTTTCCCAGATCATCGCCAATAGCCCGTTGTGCAGCTCTAGTGCGACGTAAATGGACTACAACAACACTCTGTTACTCTAATTATTTTATTGAATTATTTATGTTGAGTTGACAACAATGGGCTCTTTGGCGGTCTATTTTTGGATAAGGTAGCCATTTTAAAAAAATGCCATTATGTTTGTTGTATAAGCTAAGTATAAGTATTATATTGGCAGAGACAATGTTTTCATTAAGATAAAGCTGTTATATTTACTTCCCCTTCTGTTCCAAGCATATTTTTTAAATTTAGTGTTCATTTGTATATCTTTTACTTATTTATTCTCTTATAAGACGAAAATTACGCTTTTTAGTTTTACGTAATCGTTTCTTCTTTTTAATTGAATCTGACCAAGTAATTTATAAACTTTCAACTTAATATTTCATTAAGTGTTAAATTTATGAACAGAAATTTAGGCAGGTATAAGTGTTTGCCAATGTATGACTAAAATTCAGTAATTTGCAATACAAGAACAATTAAAATTTAACTCTACTGTCAGCCAGCTCTGTTACCCTTTCTCACTTACCAACTGTTTACTTAACTTTATTTCTCTCTATAATTTAACAAAAAGGCAATTTTAGTAATTTATTGTGTTTATTACGCTAGAGTTCTTCACTGTTTCAAGCAACATATTTTTTCATTTAATCACTTTTGAAATCAAAATTTTCCAAATCAATAAGTGCACTACCGTTCGAAGTTTTATGAACAATAAAAATTCTAGTTTCAGCTGAAGTTTTTATAAATAATAATTCGAATATTAAATTTTTTTAGAATATCTCACCGTTATATCTATAGTTTCTGTTTATTTGTTTGAGTGATAATGCAATTCTATTTGGTTTTAATTGTTCAGTGTAATTGAAATAAGCAATATCATTTGTACAACAAACCTCTTTAATACATTTATTTAACGCGTCATTTGTTTTAATAATTGATTATCATAAGGGGAAGTATGAACAAACAATATTTATAACATAAAGGTACAATAATTTTTTCACTTTGGAATATTTACATAAAGATATATGCCTTTTAAAACACTTAAAGAGTGGGACAAATACTATATACAATTCATTAGCCAAATCTCAAAAACACGTTTTTCTCGGGTTCACTAATGTAAGCAGCAGCATCAGGACTTTCGTCCCATTCATCCCTCTCTACGGAGGACTGATTCCCTGTGACGGATCTTTTACCGAAGTGGATCATGGCATGACTCCCTCGAGATCCGTCTTTGCCAAATCTCAGCAAATTGTGGTTTCTTTTGTCTGATGGATCCTCATACTGGATTTCCTCTGAAAAAGAGAACATCTTATTAATCACGCAGAGTTTTTTTTTTTTACACATAACTCAGGCTGCTTGATAAACAGTGTGCATCTCCACACTGTTTATCAAACAGAACAGAAACAAGAAGTTTTTTTATACGGCAGGCACTGAACTTCGTTCCTCACTTCGGAAAATGCCGGAAGTGTAGCTCATTTAACGTTACCCAGTGGGCACCTGTGAACCTAAGTCACGGGAGCGAGCAACATCACCCACGCCACATTGCCACAGATATCCGTTTATAGGGGTTCCGCAGTGGACTGATCATTAAGACACGGTTCCCAGCAGATCACCGAAATCAAGCACCACTGGTTGCGGGTGGGTGATGACTTGCATCAATTTGCGTGGGGACCGAGGGCGTGCTGTATGGGTCCTTGTTAAACTGTTCTACAGTAGAGTGCTCGACTTCGCGTGCAGGTCATTGGGCAACCAAAACGGGGGTGCCACCCCCTCTGCAGAAGATCAAAATTGTGATGGCATGTCTTTGGATCATCATCAGGGATGCTTCCCAGACTGTCACCAATAGCCCATTGTGGAGCTCTAGTACGACGTAAATGAACTACAACAACAACCACCTGTGAACCTAAGTCACGAAGGCAAGCTATATTACCCACTCCACATTGCCACAGATATCCGTTTATAGGGTGGGTCACATTCACACAATAGAGAACAACACACAGAGAGAAACATCCATGCCCTGAGCGGGATTCGAACCCACAACCACTGGCGTCACAGTCAGGTACTCTGACCGCTCTGCCACCGTCGAAAACTTGATGTTCTTGTTAGTTTGCGTCGCACTAGAGCTGCACAATGGGCTATTGGCGACTGTCTGGGAAACATCCCGAAGGATGATCAGAAGACATGCCATCAAAATTTTGATCCTCTGCGGAGGGGATGGCACCCCCGCTTCGGTAGCCCGACGACCTGCACGCGAAGTCGAGCACTTTACGGTAGACACAGCTTAACGAGGTCCCTACGCAGACTGATCCAAGTGGTCACCCACCCGCACACTGACAGCAGCCAGTGATGCTTGACTTCGGTGATCCTGCTGGAAACCGTGTCTTAACAATAAACTTCTCTGCGGACGGTAACGGAGTGAAAAAATCCTGGAAGAGCATGAAAATGTTTAATTTTTAATCAAAAGTAGTTTCGAAACTGTATATTAAATTAGCTGTGCTACGCAAAACGCAATTTGAAAAATTTAAATTATTTTCAATGGGATACCTGCAAGTGTCGTAGTGTGGGTACCTCTATCCCGATTTGCTGATGAAACAAGGCATTTGTTCAAGTTAGCAACTGTTCTTTCTATTCTATTTCGAGTAAGCCAAGCCCGTCAAGCATCAATTCTCTTAAATGATACATTATACATTCTTTTACCGTGTCTTAACGATCAGTCCACTGCGGGACGGAAAACTTGATGTGTTTTTACCGTTTGCGTATTGGCCACCTACGAATAACTCACAAACATCTTTTTTCTAAATGAACTAGAATCAGAGTGTCTTAATAATAAAGAACCTTTAACTGTTATGCATGTTTTAACCCAGTGCACCAAATTTTCAGATCAACAGAAACTGCGCCATTTCGGTAGCTTCTATCCGTCATTATTTTTACCAATAGGAGATAATCCTCACTCTAATATTATCTCGTACCTTAAAGACATAATTGTGAGCTTAGTTTTAAAATATATACTTGGTTAGAGGTGCGATATACCTAAAACTGGCTTTTTCGCCAATAAACTCAAATCTAAAGATGCAGAACAAGTATACCACATAACCAGAAGTGATTTTCGAAAAAGGGAGGCTAAATCCACGTGCTCGAAAACGTAAGTAATTTTAAATATTATGTAATTTAGTTATTCTGAAAATAATTTTTATTTCTCTTTGATTCAGTAGTTCTGTTATCTGTTATGAATCTTTTAAATTTATATTTATTTAATATTTAAAAATGCGAGAACATGCAGTAAGTGTATTGGTAAAATATATGACAGCGTATAGTAGTAAATAGAAATCTCATAGTATTATGAGTATTAAATTTTATATCCATTTAAGTTTTATTTTTATGTGTATTTTAATTACATAAAATATTAAATTATTTTACATTAAGATGCATACATTTAATAACTAACTTTTGGTGTTTTTTCAATAATTTTGAAAATTTTACACCCAAGGTACATTTTTTTATAATTGTAAGATTATTTTCAATAAGTATTTATTTTGCGTGGTTTGTATAATTAAAATAATCTTGAAACTGAGGTTTAATGCAGTACTGCATTGTACTTAAATAAAACTTCGTATTTAATTTTTTTCCTTCTAAATAATTATTAAATTATTGTATTTGAATGGACCATAATATAACCATTTGCTCGTTTGTTCCTACTTTAGGTACAGTTTGACATTTGAAATATTTGTTTTATTTTACTTAGTTAAAATCTGAGGATCACGTATGCTTACTTAAAATTATTAGACCTCTCGCATTATAATTTATATTTTGTTTATCTTGTTATTACTTATACCTTTCAAATAGAAATTCGTAACTGCAAAACATTTTTTTTGGTACATGTTTTCATACTTTAGAAGTGAAGAGCAGAAAAATCCGAAATTTGGCAAGAAATTTCTCCTGAATGAAAATCATTGAAATGAACTAAAAATCACAGAAGTAAATAACACCCCCGCAATCCAAGCGACTGGGATTGAGTACGCACGTTCCAGACAAAAATAGCATAAGTTACAATCAAAATGTTTTTTTTCATTCATAAGATATATTTTTAAAAAAATTCAGTTTATTTCGTAGTGTTTTAATTATAACCTTTAACTAAACTTTGAATATAATTATTGTAAGGCGATTTTTTCAACTTTTCTTTCGTGTTTACTCACAGTGTTGAAAAGACAAACTTCTTCTAACTGCAGAATCATTTCCGCTAGGGTTCCGAAATTCGGACATCGACTACAAAGTACATTGTCAGATTCCGATCCTAAAAATCGTTTAAAAATTTCAATGTATCCGTTCAGGTTAGTTAGCTAACTTAAATCTTTTGCGCAAGAGCCAAAGAAGGCTGTTATACCGCGCTCGAAACTTGGTCAAAATTAAAAGTCTGTTTAAAAATTTTGGAAGTGTCCAGTGTCTTTAAGATATTCAAGAATGTTTCTATGTGGATTGTCTGTAATTAAAGTCGATAATTCAGGATATTCACTGTTAAAATATCGTCGTCTCTTAGTTTTAAAATTGGAGTTAAGATGTGCTTTATAGTTGATGCTTCTCTGCAACTACGGGCGAACAGGTGCTGGTTCGTTCCGTATGTGTTAGTCTTGTATGTCCTATCTGTTTATAAGTACTTCAATTTTTCTGACGCAATTTAGGATTTAGCGGTTTTATTTCCGATGCAATTTCAGATCCCGATCTTAAAAGTCGTTTTAAAATTTCCATTTATCCTCTCATGAGAAATGTGCATTAGTTTCGCCATTGTTATAAATAAAACTTTAGTTCTTAAGACGATTCTATTTAAGACTTTTATCTTGTGTTATTTTTTACAAGCTTGGTGATGAACGCGTAGTGGCTACGTTGCCGAATTAGTATTCATAAAGTGATCTGAAACCGAGCATTTATTTTGTGTTAAGTTGTGCTTTTCAGATGTGTTTCTGTAAAATTTATTTAATTCTAATAAAGAAGAACAAGTACTGAAACGCAAAATTAATGTTTAAAAGGCGTTCATATTATACAGGGGCCGGCCAGGTGGNTACGTTGCCGAATTAGTATTCATAAAGTGATCTGAAACCGAGCATTTATTTTGTGTTAAGTTGTGCTTTTCAGATGTGTTTCTGTAAAATTTATTTAATTCTAATAAAGAAAAACAAGTACTAAAACGCAAAATTAATGTTTAAAAAGCGTTCATATTATACAGGGGAACCTAAAAAAATCGACGTTCTATTATTGACTTCAATGATGTTTAATATTAGTAACATTGCTGGTAATTGGTGCTGTTTTCAATAGGTATGAAATATATAGGTACTTTTTACAGTCAACCGAGAGGGAAATATCGTAAAAAATTTTAAGTTTTGGCTCTCATGAGTTAGCCTCAAGAAACATCATCTTGCCAAATGATTACAATCTTTATTTTTATGAGAAAAACTTCTAAGAAAGTGTTTTGTTTAATCTCCTAAAGTAAAGCCAACGTGAACGGCACTAAACATTAAGATGGAAATATTTTAGCTTTATTAGTTTTGTGGGTCTTGTATAGAAAGGTGAATTTTTTTTCCGGACTTTTACTCATACCGAATCCCTGGAATTTCGACTTATACCGAATCCCAGGAATTTTGATTTTTACTGAATTTCAAGAATTTTGATTTATGTTGAATTTCAGGAATTTTGGCTTATACTGAATTTCAGGAATTTTGACTTAAACCGAATTTCAGGAATTTTGACCTAAACCGAATTTCAGGAATTTTGACCTAAACCGAATTTCAGGAATTTTGGCCTAAACCGAATTTCAGGAGTTTTGACTTTAACTGAATCCCAGGAATTTTCATTTTCGCACCACGGATAATTTTATCGCTATTTTAATACTATTTTTAGTTACTCTACTAATAACAGAGTAGGTAATTAAAAAGTTTTTCTGTGTAGTTATATGCATCTAAATTCATATTGAGACAACGACTAGAAAAAATAAATCGAAACTTTTTTTAAAGAAAAACTCGATGAATCTCATAACGAAAAAGAATAAAGTAAAATAATTTTAAAAATGAAAAATGAGAGGTAGCTTTTCCGCACCAAGAAAATGACACGGATTAAAATTATAATCGCTCGCGAAAAATCACGTACCTTAGAGAACAATTTTGAAATCAATGGCGGTAACCTCCAACGATCATTTTATTGTGGAACGGAGAATGGTCGCTCCCGGAAAGTTTCACTGCATTATTATGATAAATTTCATTTCCATCAGATAAGTGTGATACAACCTTCTCTAAAATCAACCTTCTCATCAACATTGCGTTTTTCATCATCTTAAATTCAAAATAAATACCCGAATATTTCCTCACCATAGTATTTTTGTTTCATATTATAATTTAATATTTTTCGTTTTCTCTGTAAGTCCTAAGAAAAAGAGCACTCCAGTGAGGGAAAACACCTAAGTTTATGCGCCAATTTTTATTCTAAAAACTTTTCATTTTTTCTAAAAGTTTCTTGACTTCAGCGTAGGAATAATTTTCTCAGATATTGAGAAATTAAATCCCAAACATTTTTAAATTTTGCAAAACTCTGTCTTTTCTTAATTATCATGGAGATGAATAATTAATTAGAATATTAATTAGACTTTAATATTATGTATAATGAATTATTATAGTATAATTATATTAAATAATATAATTATCTTAAATAATATAATTATATTATAATATATACACTGTATGTCATACAAACAAATCTCGTTATAGTGAACACCCGGATATAGTGAACGAAATGTTCGTTCCCGTGCCTTGCTATACACATATATTTTTTGTGGATATAGACAACCGAAGGAAGGGAGGAAATCGGATATTAAGAACTTATTTCTGCCTTTGAGTGATTTGTTTTTCTTTTTTTTGCAATTTTAAAATTTCTACATAAAATACTTATAACGATTTTTAAAACCATCTATTGTTCTAAATGCAACCATAAGCATTTATTCTTGTTTGCTTCTTCTATCGCAGTTTCTCATCCCTAAATTTTTGGTACGCAAAACGAAGAGTAATAAAAATTCAAAGTTAACACATTTTTTGTTACTACATATTTTTTTTTTTTTATCGTTTTTGTATTTCTTTTCATGGGTCATTCATTCAATTAATGTGAAATAAAAGGGAGCAGTTAGGAAAAATGAGTTATAATCATTTGCAGAACGGATATAGTGAACCGAAATTTCAGTCCCTTGAGGGTTCACTGTAGCGGGGTTTGACTGTATTAAATAATGTAATTATATTATAATTATATTAAATATTATGCATAATTAATTATTAATAATTTTATATTATCAATTAGAATTAAATGTTAATGAAATGGACGTAAATGTAGGTTACAAAAACAGCATAATATTTTCTAAAAAGCGCTCTTTTGACATTCTTACCATTTTCCTCGTCTTCTGGAATCATAGATGCACTTTCAGAATCTTCTCGCTTTCCGAAATGAATCATGGAGTGGGCTGCTCTTTTTTCTTCATTTTCTGGTTCTAAGTATAATCCTGGATCTGCCAGAAAAAAATAATGAATTCATTTAACATTTTAAAAAATGAAAATGTGTTTCTTAGATCTGCTGCGCTCTTTTTCTTTCTGATTTCAAAAATGTTAATGAGGAGATACTATCAAAAGCCAATTAATCGAGATCAGTTGACGTCATGTACTTACGAACATCTTGCGAAAATGATTTAAAAATATTTTTGCAGCCAGACTATAAAATATGAAATTATAGTGCAAATTGAAGGTAGTAGAATATATTTTTAACACACATACTTCTTGAAATATAGAACTGAATGTGATTTATCTGCTGGAAAATTAGATTTGCACTAGATTATAATTAATATGTTACACTGTGTTTATAACTGATAAGAATACTATATATATATATATA